TACTCCTTTAATCCTTCTTGTGCTTAAATGATCTTACATTTACATTCCTCTGGCACTACTTAAATGTTTTAGTTTCAGTTCTACCCCGTAGTTCGTCTTCCATCATTTTAGGAATAATTTTTCACGCCTGTAACAAACTGCTGAAATTTTTGCTCGGTTTCATGAGGGTTTCTTGAGGTTGCTGAGGTCTCTTGAGGTTTGAAGTTTTTTTGAACAGATTTGTGGAGTTTTTCTTGCTTGTAAAAAAAATCCCGTAGGCCCATTTTATGTGCTGTTAGTTTTGGTTGGCGTTAAGCTACGACACTTAGGAGGTCTTGAGTCCGATGATTCGTTTCATTACAAGTTCTTGATCCTTTTGATGTTAAATTGGTGCTTGCATATTCCAAGAAGCCAAAATTCCTATTAGCTCGTTTCTATTTTCTACGGTTCATAAAAAGGAAGCCATCGGTAGTTTTTTGCTTGTGTATTTCACATTACCAAAATTACAATCATTGCTTTGGAAAATACGAAATACTTTGAAATGTCCCAAATTTTTTTAATAGACAGTGCAACATGAGTGAATGTATTTAAACTTAATTTGGTCATTTAGGACTTCATAAAATCGAAGTGACATTTGCGGATGTACCAATAGTTGGCAGCCCATTCAGATGTGAAGTGATTGATCCGAGAAAAGTTTTTTTCAAGGGAATCACCGAACCATTCATTCTACGGCAGCCTAGTACCATTACTGGTATGAATGTTTCTTTTTAATCAGTTTTCAGTTGTTTTTTTGATAGCCCCGACAAAGAGACGGAAAGATTTTTCTTGTCAGGTTAACCCTCCTCCATCCCTTGTCCAAATAACCCCATTCCTCTGACAAGCTGTTTTTGTGCGTTTTTTTGCATCTGTGCGATAAAACAAAAAAGCATATTATCTCTGTGTGTGTATGTTCGTCTGTACGGATTCCTCATCTTGGGACCTACAAAAGCTACAAAGCTGAAAAATTGAGAACTTAGTCTACACGCATTTGTTGACCCCTTACTCTCAAAATGAACACTGTTGCCCGCGTGATTCCCAAGCACGGATCCGTGAAAGTTTCTTACGGGTAAGTTGCTAACTCGGAAATCTGAAAAGCTAAAAAGCTGGGTAAGGGAGTGATAGCTAGTCTCAATTCTTTTAATGAGAAGCATCTGCCAAAAAAACTGTGCTGCTAGCGACAAAAACTAATGGAGAACTGTGCAGAAACGCATCTTCGCACTGGCAGTGATGCGCTGACCACTTATTTTACCTAAACAAACGAATCCTCCGTGCTGCATTGTTCTTAGTAAAGCTGATACTGGTCAGGTTTACGTATTTT